CCAAAAAATATCATAAATAAATAAACCACCAAGTAATATACATCCAGTTATCACACTAAAAAATGACAGTACAGATAATTAAATTACCCAGTTCGCATTGAGTAATTTCAGGTCCAAATCACAAACCTGTTTAGTTGAAGGAGTTCTACGCCATTGACAGCAAAAGCCAAGCCTAGCACATTGTTGGCAATCCAGTGCTGAAATTAAACACACCAAATCAATTCACACCCAGAAGGTTGATAAAAAATAAACAATTGAATTTATAATATTATACTGCTTTAGTAAAAATTACAGCAGAACTAGACGTACCTTCTTAACAAGGTACCAAATTCCAAATATAGTTGAGACCGAAACACATATAAGATCAATACGATCAAATTCATAGTCCATTATTTCTATAACCAACATTTAATTAAATAGTAAATAAATCAGATTGTTGTTTTGTTGTATTGATGTGTATTTTTTATTATTTATTATGTTTCAATTAATGGAAATTTAGTACACTTCAGGAAAAACAAATTATCTGGCTGATTTATAATAGTAACGATCTAGCCGGATACGGAATATTCTGTATTACAGCTAGAGGTGTCTATATTACAGAGGTGTGTGTATTAGAATGGTGTCTGTATGAGTGAGGAGTCTGTATTAGAGAGGTGTCTATATTTGAGAGATGTCTGTTTTAGAGAGATGTCTGTATTAGAGAGATGTCTGTATTAGAGAGATGTCTGTATTAGAGAGGTGTCCATATTAGAGAGGTGTCTATATTAGAGAGGTGTCTGTATTAGAGAGGTGTCTGTATCAGAGAGGTGTTCATATTAGAGAGGTGTTCATATTAGAGAGGTGTCCATATTAGAGAGGTGCCTGTATTAGAGAGATGTCTGTATTAGAGAGATGTCTGTATTAGAGAGGTGTCTGTATTAGAGAGATGTCTGTATTAGAGAGGTGTCCATATTAGAGAGATGTCCATATTAGAGAGGTGTCTATATTAGAGAGATGTCTGTATTAGAGAGATGTCTGTATTAGAGAGATGTCTGTATTAGAGAGATGTCTGTATTAGAGAGGTGTCCATATTAGAGAGGTGTCCATATTAGAGAGGTGCCTGTATTAGAGAGATGTCTGTATTAGAGAGGTGTCTGTATCAGAGAGGTGTTCATATTAGAGAGGTGTTCATATTAGAGAGGTGTCCATATTAGAGAGATGTCCATATTAGAGAGATGTCTGTATCAGAGAGATGTCTGTATCAGAGAGGTGTTCATATTAGAGAGGTGTCTGTATCAGAGAGATGTCAATATTAGAGAGGTGTCAATATTAGAGAGGTGTCCATATATTAGAGAGATGTCTATATTAGAGAGATGTCTGTATTAGAGAGATGTCTGTATCCGAAAGATGTCTGTATTAGAGAGGTGTCCATATTAGAGAGGTGTCCATATTAGAGAGGTGTCCATATTAGAGAGATGTCTGTATTAGAGAGGTGTCTGTATTAGAGAGATGTCTGTATTATGCGTGGATCAATTCTTGTTGTTACCATCCCCCCCCCCGCCCACGGCAACCCCCGGGCTAATGCAAAAACTTTAATCCCGGGGG